AGATTTCAGGAGAGACCTGTCCCTGGGAAGGAAAATCATACTTGGTAAAGTGTTTGTGGGAGTGGAGGTGAAGATCATCAATAGTAAGGATTGACACAGTGGCAGTAGCAATGAACTCAAGTGTAACAACATTTGTTAGGATGATTGAGGACCAGGTAATGTTTAGTTCTGCTGTGCAAAAGGATCACTGTGAGACTAAAGTAACTCAATGGGCCTTAGCAGCAACAACAAATGTCCTTGGTCTGATTAAGATAGCATCCAACCTAAAACATATCTGTAATTTGCATTCAGTCACAGAATTAGATAGTGGAAATATAGTTATTGAAGCAACTGCCTAACCTGCTACTGGTACATATTTTATGATGACTACATCAAAAAGTCCATTAAGAATAGATCCTAGATGAACACTACATTTTCTCTCTATGGTTTGTATTTGTCTTTTCATATCGAAATGTGCTACAACAATCTGGAGACGATAAGGAAAACTAGTCTTTTGGTGACGGGAACACATGCATGATTGCTGTCATGTTTCTGTTCATTCCATACCTATTAAGCCATTAAAATTAACTAACACTCTACTTTTTGAAGAAATTACTATCAGAGAGTTTTCAAAGTGTTAGCAACACAGGCTTCTTCACTGATGGCATTCAAATGCCCTACAACAACCTAAACCACTGATAAAATACAATTATGTCATTTTATAAATGATGAAACAGAGTTCAGTTGAAGCTGAGTCACATTCTCAGGAAAGTTTATGAGTGATAATTCTTTACAGTTCATGAATTGTTACCCATGACACAGTAACAAAAAAGAAGACATCTTACCAATGAGTTTTCTCAAGCCCATCTTGATGTCTCTGTTCCTTAGGCTATAGATAAAAGGATTCAGCATTTGAGGGACCACAATGTACATCACTGAGGCTGCTGCTGTCTTTGTGGAAGAGTGTGAAAACACAGAACTGATGTACACACCTGTAGATGTTCCATAGAATAATAAAACAACAGAAAGGTGAGACCCACAAGTAGAAAAAGCTTTATACTTCCCACCAGCTGATGGTATTCTCAAAACAGTGGAGACAAGCCGAGTGTAAGAGAATACGATGCCAGAGAGAGGAAGAGCTCCCAATAAGCATGCCAAAAAATATAACAGAATGTTGTTGATGAGGGTACTGGAACAGGCAAGCTTGAGGACCTGAGCAAGTTCACAGAAGAATTGAGGGATTTTCAGGTCTGTACAGAAGGATAGATGCAAAACCATCAGACTGTGGATAAGGGAATCCACGACACTAATGAACAAAGAAAGTAGAGTCAGCAGGCCACAGAAGCTGAGATTCATGATGACTGTGTACCTCAATGGGTGACAAATGGCCACATAACGATCATAAGACATTGCTGCAAGAAGAAAACTCTCAAAGCCACTACAAGCCATGACAAAGAAAATCTGGTAAAGGCATCCTGTATAAGTGATGCTCTGATTCTGTTTCTGAATGTTCACCAGCATCTTTGGGATGGTAGTTGTGCTCAAACAAATGTCATTAAAGGACAGATTGGAGAGAAAAAA